ACAGATGGTTGTGAGCCACCATGTGGTTGCTGGGAATTGAACTCAGGACCTTTGGAAGAGCAGGCAATTCTCTTAACCTCTGAGCCATCTCTCCAGCCCTCAATTCCTGATGTTGTCAGAAACAGAAAATATCAACTCCTGCTCCTTTTGGGAAAGCCAAATACTTAAGATGTCATCCTGGACACTTTCTGTCACGTGTCTGTTTTTCTCCTGCTCTTTCTTTTTAACTGAACCATTATTGCTGGAACTTGGACTCTCTTGAAAAGGGCCGGGAGAAAGGGATGCTGATTCTGGCAGAGACTGGACGGATTGAGACTGAATGTGTTCCTTGTTGCTCCAGAGTCAGGCCTGGGTGACCCGTGTTTAAACAAGGTAGAGTTAAAGCTGGGAAGTACAAAGCACCTAACAAGAGGCTCAGCCTTAGCAGGGCCAGCTTATTATGTATAACATGATCATACGTACATATTTACATAACTACCAGCTTTAAACGGGCGTGTGCATGTGTGCTTCCTCGCTGGGCTGGGCTGGGCTGGGCTGCTAGAAAGACGGGTGAGAGAGAGATGGTGAGGTTCCCCGCAGGTTCCTTCCTCCAGCTTCTAGTCACACTGTGCTGGCTCCTCTCAGAGGGCAGCAGGCCCTCAGCTAGCTTGAGGCCAGCTCTCAGAGCAGCAGGCCCTTCCTGTTTCATTCTCTGTCTGTCTGTTGCAAACCCCAGCTTGGTGCTGTCTCTGCAGCAGGCTTTATGCCCGTAAACAGGGAGGTTACGCCAAGCTCTACAGCCACAGGCAGTCATCAATCAGTACTTGAGATTGCCCACTGTGCTGCACGCTGGCTGTCTCCTGGCCTAATAATAGCAGAAGTGGAGAAGGAAGAACAGCAGCCATACTCCTGATCGCAGAGCCCAAAAGACAGGAGCTGTCCGAAAGGCCACGCTCCCAGAGGCAGCAGTGGTTAGGAGTGTGGACAGCCGGTAGGTAGTGTGGATGTTGCAGCCACGGTCAAAGCCTCCCACGTTTCTGGGCCTTTGGGGTAACCCTGTAGACATTCCTCCTCACTCCGCCAGAGATCTCAGCATGCCCGGATTCAGTCATGGAGGGGGCACGAGCCTGCTGCACAGTGATAGCTCCCGGGCTATAAATGGGAAGTCTGGTGCCAGTTCCTAAGAAGAGCAACAGCCTCTGCCCTCCCCTGTCAGAGTAGGACTGGAGCTGGCATTTTGACCTTTGCTTCCCACCTGGGCATTGTGGGAACAAAAGCAGCATGTGGCTCTAAGACCAAATGAGGTTTGGCATCCAGCAAGTGAGTCCCAGCTGTATTTGTGGTTTTCCCTGCAAGGAGAGCTCTCTACCCACGGTGTTATCGGTTAGTGCTCCAGTAGCAAAGCTTTGAATACCAAAACAGGCATCCTGTCTAAGCACTCGTAATAAATCCATCCATGCAAAGAGACCTCATCAAAGGGCAAGGCACAGCCCCAGAGCTTCTCTCCTCTGTTCTTAATGAAAAGCCTTCCCTCGGGTCGGTCTGACTCTCACCCACATCGTGAGGCTTGGTCCCTTGCGCGGAGCTGTGAGATGGGCTGGCCAGCCCCTCTGTGGATGAGGAGCCCCAGGGTTCTGTGCCCAGGTGACGACTTGACCTGCATCGTGGCAGGGCATCACAGAAGCGGGGCTTTGGCTCAGACTCTGCCCTACCTTGGTGTCCTGTCCCCCCGCCCCAGTGCAGTCAGCTTTAAAAGACAGAAACTTTATAACACGCGCAGCCTAAAATGTGGCATGAATCTAAGCAAAAGTGAGGAGGGAGCCGGAGACCCCGCTGAGCCCGATAGTCTTGATGCCAGGAACATGGCCCAACAATCGTGACATGGAGCCCAGAGGCAAAACTATAACACTAACTCCCCATCGGCCTGGCACTAAATGGTATTTATATAGCCTCACTACTATAAACTCTGTGTGTTGGTTTTCTAATTTTGGAGGCAACTCGTGAAGGAAACAAGAAAATTCTAGTTATTGTTGTAAGATAAAATGTATTAGTAGCCATTATGAAATGGATGCAAATCTATTTTTTATGTGTCCAGTACAAAGTGAGATAAGGAAGATAAAGGGGGAGAAGGCAAAGACGAAGTAATGTGGGATGCTAACGGATATAGGATGTGCAGATGATGGAATTAAAACAGTTAAAAATATAATTTATAGTTACAAAATAAAATGCAGCCGGGCGGTGGTGGCGCACTCCTTTAATCCCAGCACTCGGGAGGCAGAGGCAGGCGGATCTCTGTGAGTTCGAGACCAGCCTGGTCTACAAGAGCTAGTTCCAGGACAGGCTCCAAAACCACAGAGAAACCCTGTCTTGAAAACAAAAATAAATAAATAAATAAATAATAAAATGCATAGAGCAGGTGTTGGAAAGAAACTCGGCGTTGGAGAGTTTGCATCCTCTCTGGGGAATCCTTGGCAGTTGAGTGTCTTTTCTTCCAAGGTTCATCAGCAGTATAAAGAGGGCTAGAGAGACTGCCCAGGGGTGACGAGCACTTGTTGCTCTTGCAGATTCCCAGCACCCACATGGCAGCTCACAACTGTCTATACCTCCAGTTCCAGGCAATCTGATGCCCTCTTCTGGCCTCTGAGGGCACCGGGCATGGACGTGTAAACAAAACACTCATACACATAAAATAAAAAGAAATCTAAAGAGTTCTCAGCAGAAAAGCTAAGAAGAGCGATGCTGCTGGGAACCCCTGGAAGAGCGTGGATTCGGGCGAGAGCTGTGGCTTCACACCCTGACTTCCCTATGCTGTGTGGTTCGTTATGCCGTTCCTCTTTTAATCGAGGCAGTGAGAAGACAGCTTTTAAAAGACCAAAACCGCGGCTGTGGCGAGGTCCATCTGTTCCCCGAACACATGTGCCTGTGAAAACGAGCCGTAAAAACACTCATTAGGTCAGCAAACAGAAATCAGTGTTCCGGGCTTTAATTATTGATATACGGTTTCAACGGTCCAGCCAAGCTAAGGCTCTGTGTGAAGCCAAACTGATGTCACTTGGCAGACAGACGACAGCCCCTGTGGCATCAAAGCGCCCTGAATGTCCACTGCCAAAAGGACCGTGATGAGATGGATTCCCCTGCAGCTCGCTCATCTGTGAGAAGCTTATGACTTATCAGGAGCAGAGTGGCAGGCGGTCCCGGGACCCCCTAGGCTTTTACAAGACAAAAGCAGAACCAGGAGGATGCAGTTTCCTGTGCAGCTCGTGGTACGTGAGAGGTCTCCGGCCCTCAGAAGCTCTAGATGGAGGGTACATTGGCAGAACTCAATGGTACAGAACCCGGGCACGCTGCCAGACTCTGAAACCCGGTCACATAGCGTCTCTTCTAAAATAGATCTTCCCTCCCTGTTAGTCCAAGAAAGGGTGGGCCCTCTGGCCCTGCCACTAGATCCTGAGGGCCTTTTTCCCAAGACCGATACCCTCACTTAGAAAGGACTCCTAAGACGAACGTAGGAAATTCACAGGCTGAGAAACTATAAATTGATTACAAATAAAGGGATGCCTGGGAAATCAACAGTGCAGTTTAAAAAAAAAAAAATAGCAATTTCCCAGTGAGCATTCTCTTACTCCACACACTCCACGGCATTGGGGTGAAATCTTTTGGGGCCTGGATCTTCTTTTTTCTGTGTGAGGCATCTTTGAGGGATAAAACAATTTGCTATAAGCTATAGATACATTGACTTAACTTGGGCTTTCTTCTTACATTATCTCTTTATACTTCATAATACATTTTATTATTTTTAGCTGGCAGTTGACACATATTCATACAGGTTACCCAGGAAGACCACAAATGGAATTTCTTACACCTGCATGATCAGACACACTACCATCCTCTTGGCTTGCTATTTCCAATGTTCTATTCTTGAAAACCATGGGAAACTTCTGCTGGGTAAAAGCATCGCTTTTATTTCAGATGCAGAAGGATGATTGCACGTTCCTGGCTGATACCCAATTTAAATATAGCAAAACAGGCTAGTTCAGCCAAGGATAGTAGTATATGCCTTTAATCCCAACACTCAGGAGGCATAGGCAACCAGGTCTCTATGAGTTTGAGGCCTGCCTTGTCTACATAGTGAGTTTCAGGACAGTTGGACTACGTAGAAAAACCCTGGCTCAAAAAAAAAGAAAAAGAAAGAAAGAAAAGATGATTTAAGAAAAAAAAAAACAGAGCAGCTCCTTCATCAGTGGATACTGGATGTGTAATGCCACAATAAAGCAATGCCAGCTATCCGTGTTGTTCAGGCTTTTATTGTTTCCCTGGGTGGTCCTCATAAGGTATCCTCCTAGAGTACGTAATAGCACTCCATGTTGTTCCAACTGTGGTCCTTGGAGCAACCCGGCATGAGCATCACCTGGGGCTTGGTCAGAATGTAGTTCATGGCCTCCACACTAGACCCTCTGGTTCAGAAGATCCTAGAAGCTGCCTTGTGACCAGCCCTTCAGGGACTTTGGTATACACTGAAGCCTGAGAACCATGGAAGCCATTGAACCTTTCAGGCCCAAAAACAGGATGAAAAGAAATGGAGGAGGGAGGAACGGTGGGACGCAGGAGGGCTTTTTGTAAACTAGCAATGGATGGATGGATGAAAGGAGCACAGCGATCAGAAGTGAAAACCAGACACTCAAGACCAGAGATTCCAGAGCGTCTACATCCACAGGACCCTTGGTTTGCAAGATGGGACCCTCAGATCACTTCCTGCGAATACTGTGAACTGTCATATGCGGGGGGCGGGAGAAAAGATGTTATTAGTAAAATTGTATTTAAAGTAAAAAAAAATACTTATTACTAAAATATTTTTTTAATTTAAACCTAAATGGCCACATTTTCAGGGTGACTCACAAAAAAGAAAAAGAAAAAAAATCAACCCAAAATTCACCACTTCAGCCTCTTTAACCATAGCTTGGGGCATGTCCTTGGATCTGTTCTATAGGCCACAAACTCATTATTCATCTCTGTCTTTCCAGCAAAGGGTTACCTTCCAGTTCAACCTTCACCTTGGAAGAGGGGACCATCTACCTGACTGCTGAGCCAAACTCCCTGGAAATGCAGGACGACAACGCCTCAGTGCTGGATGTCTATTTAGTGAGTGACGTTCTTCTGTTCTTCTCACAGCCCTCCTTAGCGTACAGAATACGAAGTTGTGTAAAGCCAACCATGCTTGGGGATTTTAGAGAAATGGTTGCCTCCTGTCCCTTCTACAGATGACGAGTCTTCCCAAGCTGTTTTCCTCCCCCATAGTTTGTTAGAATGTTGGTAACAGGTTAATTGTTGTTTTAAGTTCAGCACAGTAGCTGCGCTCTCTACCTTTGTTTCGCCAGCGACTGCAACTCTGCGGTTACTGGCTGCCTTTTCTAGCAACAGCCTGGCTGCTCAGACTGCAGCCTGGCAGGAATTCTGTTCCCGCAGCCACAGGCTCTGTCACTGTTGCTAACGGTAGCTTTAGCTAAATCTCTGTTGTTCTATGCATAAATAAGACTCGGGACTCAAAGGCTGGGGTGAAAACCTACTAGCTCAGAGAGGCTGAGTAGCAAAAAGCTAACCTTCCTTCCTTGCTGGGTCTCCAAAAGACCCCATGCTTTGACTCTGCCAAACCAGAAAAACCTGTGCCACTCAACCTTCCCAACCACTTCCTGTGGCTCCCATCTCTCCCAGATGCCCTCTGATGCTCTATGGTTACTTTCTGTCAACCAACTGCTAACTCAGCCTCCTGACCCGGGGCTAATTTTATTTAATTAATGCAAATGCAAATTTGGGGTCCACAGTGTGATTGACTATCCCCCCAACAGTTAAGACTAACTCAACAGATCTAACCAGAGGACAAATCTCATGAAGTGAAGGCAAAGCTGAGGGGGCCTTGATTTCATCCCAACAAAGTAAGCTTGCCCTTTGACTCAAGCGGTGCCCTGATGCTTGAATCTTCTTTATTTTGGCATTACCTCTGTGATAAAGCAGTAGGCTGGATGGCAGAGAAATGGGATCTGGGAAGAACTCAAATTCAGAACTGAAGAGTTGTCAGATGACACCGTGCAGGGTTGTCACTAACCAGCTGTGTGAGATGGGCCTCACTTCACTCCATCAGCCCTTCGGACTGTCTGCTCTACCTTTGTTGATGGTTAGATGGTACAAGAAAAGTACCTTGGCAGGCTGGAAGCAGTGTTTGCCCTGCACATTGCATCCCGTCCATATCCTCCACGTGCTGTACGAACGCCCAGCATCACGTGAAGCAGGGAGGATGTTGAGGGGAATGGCAAGGTGTCATTTGGAATGCTGTGTTTTTAAGTTTAAATTCGAAAGGCCCGACAGCCTGTGGTTGGGTCTCCTCTGCCTATGCGGCCCCTCTTCCCCTGGCTTTTGTGATCCAGTCACACACCTCAGCATTCCTCCCACAAACCAAGCCTTGTCTCCCCGTCTTTGCTTTCTATTCTTGTCTGTGTACTCTTTCTCAGAGCCAACCCATGCTTGTTCCCTTGCTCCCTTCCTTCATAACTCAACTCAAACATCTTCCCATCTTAACCAACTCTGGGAAAGAGCAGCCCCAGCAACAGCAGCCATTGGGAAAGGTAGTCTTTAGAACCCCTAAATATTATTTTTTTTTTCTTTTTGAGACGGGATCTCTCTATGCAACCTGACTCTGCTGGAGTTCGTTCACTGTGTAGATCAGGCTGGCCTCACTCACAGACATCTGTCTGCCTCTGCCTCCCAAGAGCTGGGATTAAAGGCAAGTGCCTCTGTAGGCAGAAGTTTCTGTCCCACCCAGTTCCACAACCATTCAATCCCAAGAAACACACAGAGGCTTGTATTAATTATAAACTATTTGGACTGTAGTTCAGATTTATTACTAACTACCTCTTACAACTTAAGTTAACCCATAATTCTTGTCTCTGTTTAGCCATGTGGCTTGACACCTTTTCTTCTCAGTGGGTCATTCTCATCTTGTTTCTTCTGCTTCTGGATGACAACTGCATCTCTCCCTTTCCTCTTCTCAGAATTCCTAGTCTGGTTGCCCTGCCTTTACTTCCTGTCTGGCTACTGGCCAATCAGCATTTTATTAAACCAATACGGGTGACAAATCTTTACAGTGTACAAGAGCATTATCCCAAAGCATGCCACCACAACCAGATTTTTTTTCTGGTTATTCTTTAATGTTCTAGTACAACAATCCTCAAATCTGTTGCACTCAGGACCCCAGTACATCCTTGAAAATCACTGAGGACCCCAAAAATCACCGAGGGGGCAGGGTTATGCCTTCAAAATTAAAATATTAGCATTATTTTGTTTCCTGCATATTCCTAGCATCTCTGACTTAACAGGTGCTAGAGTGGGGGCTCCTGGCTTATCTGCCTATTTACAGCAACTTTTTTGTTTGGTATTATTGCTATTGTTTCTTGAGATAAAGTCTCAGTATGTAACTCAGGCTAGCCTCAAATATACAATCCTCCTGTCTCTGCCTCCCTGGTCCTGGGATTACAAAAGTTGCCTCACCACACTGGGATCATGTCTGTGTGAGCCTTTGCCACCTGGCTCCTAGTTTCATTTCCGGAAAGAATTCTACTGTGAATGTAGAAAAGGATGAGATGGGAAAGCACACAGCATGGGAGCGCTGCTGGTGGGAGAAGCCTTTGACCTAGGGGCCCCACATGGCTTTTCTAGGCTGTGAAGATATAGCCTCTTCACCTGTGGCCAAACCAGATGAGCGGTAAATTAAAGAGAGCTAGTTCCCTGGAGTCAGTGCCTGTCTCCGCTCCTCAGGGATCGCTGGCGATCGCCCTTCTTGGGCTTCAGTTTTCTCCTCCTCTATTAGATGGAATATTGACTGCTCTCTGAGACCCTGTGCATCTCTAACGGGCTGATTCATTCTGGATCACACCAGTTGCACAAGGATGGCTTTCCAGACAAGCTACGTTCTTCAAACTCGGTGGTTTCATCACCTCCTCTACCGCTAAGCTTCACTTAAACTCTAGGCCAATACATCTAGAACATTCCGCCCCATGAGCTTGTAGTTCTGGAACATGTTTTCTTGCTGGAAATATTTTTATGATTACTACTGTTATTTTGAACACTGTCCTAAATGTGAAAAGACTCAGATCGTTTCCTGCCCTTCGCTGTTTTCATTCGCCTCTACGTTATGGAAGAGTGATGAGAAAGAAAACCCAGTCTGGCCTGGGCAATTTCTCTCTCCTTTCTTTTTGACCTAATTCGGAAGCTTTGGATCACAGCCATTTTTATCCCAGCCATCTCTAATTGAATGACCCTTGAGGCAGCGTCTGTGATGACATTCTGTTTGGTGTTGCGGCCCAGTGAAAGCTGATGTCCCGTGTGGGGTTTTCCCCAGGAAGGTGCAATGTTTCTTTATTAGTCGTGACATCTTAATCCATTTTATGTCTAACTGGTCCACTAAGGATCTATATCCCTGTGAAAAATGCAGGTTTGAACCACATTGATTTGTGCATGTCAGATAACGTGGAATTTCTTTTTAGGGATCCACCCAAACTTGAGCCTGTGGGCAAAGGCAGCCTTGTGACTTTTCTCAGTAATCTGAACTGAAATTTAAAAAGATGGTTGACCTCTGAAGAGAGCTAACAGTTTCACCATCCATGTTCAGGCATTTGTTTCAGGTCCCACCCAAGCTTCCTCCCACACTGCTTCCCAGAGGCCCTTCACCCCCTCGCTGTGTACACCCCAGCGACTCATTTGTAAATATTCAAATCAAGGGAGGTGGCTTTTTAAGATGGCTTTATCCCAGTGACCAAAGATGTTCCCTATTGAATGCCGAGCTGATGAGATGCAGATTAGGGTATTGAAAAGAATACAACAGGGCTGAGTAGGCTGCATTGATTTAAAAAAAAAAAAAAAAAAGGGCACTTCTGCCATCTTCCTAACGGGATGGTCCCTGGTATTGTAAGACACCAGTGCCATGACTTCAGATCCTAAGGCAGCTTTTGCCTGATGCAGACCGCAATTGAATGTTGCTGGAAAGAGGAACAGCAAAAAGCCATTCCCACTGGAAAACGGAGTGGGAGAGAGCGCCCTTTCCTGGCTCCCTGGGAATGGGTTGTCAATGAGAGATGAAGGGACTGCGTTTTTAATAACACAGGAGTCTAAAGGACCGTGTCACCCACGAGCACCGGCTCTACGTGTGTCGCCCACGCCCTGAGTTATGCCCTGTCGCCTTTACACTTTTCGCATTAGCGTCCTCTCAATAGCATAGCCCGTATCTGTGGAAGTGCTTCTGCAAAATGGCTGAAGTGCAAAAATAGCTGCGCGTAAGAAACAGTTCAGCAATTTTTTTTAGCCACACCCATATTGGAGATTAGTGTACTGACAGGCGGCAGCCCGGGGACAGCCTGATCATTCGGTGTGTTGGGGGCGGTTAATGGTCCTCTTTGATCATGGGAAGACAGGTGACAAAGGAGTGTGAATGATTGAATTAACAGCTGCCACGCCATCATGGATGAGGCAAGACAAACACTCACCCAAATGAGGTCACAGGGGTCTTGGAAAATTCACAGGAGGTTTTGGCAAAAGAAGCTGCCTGTCTGAGTTTGAATCCTTAGGCTTGGAAAGAAATGACCCCTGCAATAGCCGCACAGCCGTGGCTGGGTCTCTTTAATCATTCCTTGCTTACGCCAGTGTGGGCGGCCCCAGGGGGTGTTGATGGGAACCGGTGGCATTTCCACTGCCACTCTGGATGGAGCTGGAGTCCCAGCAACCCAGGTACTGTTCACATAGCCAGTGGTGTTTCGTGAGCGCTTCAATGGAGACCAGGCACACAGCTCCTCAGGTTGGAAGCACTGCACGAAAGCCCCTTCCCGTTTGTCCCATGCTTGCACTGTGGGAATTGAGATTTCGGGAAGAATAAAATAGGGCCCTTAGCCCCAAGTGCTTGACTCCTTAAGAGATTTGACTAAATGATGTTTTTAAGACTCAATGGAAGAGCTGGGGTAGGGGGTGCATGCAGACGTGGTGGCGCACACCTTTGATTCCAGTGCTCAGAAGGCAGAGGTAGGCAAGAGCTCTCTGAGTTCGAGACTAGCCTGGTCTACATAGCAAGTTCCAGGTTAGCCAAAGCTGTGTAATGACAC